GTCTCTGAACGAGAGACTCGAGTCGCTCATAGAGAGATCCTCATTTCGTATCCAGTCTCTGAATGAGAGACTCGAATCTCTCAATAAGTGGTGTCTCGATTGACATGGTTAAAATTTTCTAAGTTTAACGTATTTCAGAGATTCCAGTCTTTCTACTAGAGACTCGAGTCTCTCAATTTTTCAGTTTTATTCATTCAGTCTCTGTGAGAGACTCGAATCTCTGAATTAATAATTTTATCGTTCGAGTCTCTCATAAAGAGACTGTGAGAGATCCATAAAAACGCCTACGCAATAACTGAGAGACTGTGAAAGACTGTGACAGACGCTCTCAGAGACGCTGAAGGAGCCTGAGAGACTGAAAACTTTTGTCTAGGGTTTACATACAGCATTTTCGGAGCAGAAATAAAGTGTTGAAAATAAAAAGGAAAAAGTCAGCAAAACGATGTTTGTTGGCGACATCGACGTTTTCCCAAATTACAAGTCGGAGAGGTACCTACCTGACTTCCCGGTAATGTCCATTGCCTTCAGATTTCGTCCCTTGATGACGGTCAAGGTGAGACGACCCGCTGTTGGTAGATAGCACAGAGACAACATCAATTCACCCAAATCCACTTTGTCCTGGAAACAAATTTGACACGTACAACGAGATTGTCAATACCTTAACTCTAAAATATATAAAAGAAAAACTATTGGCTAAACATCGTCAAATAGCAAGTGCCCCTAACAACAATTTTCGAGCGGAAAACATGGATTATTAAGTGGAAGTATTAGTAATTACGATTAGGAGATACGTATCGTTGTTGTAATTCGTAAAAGTAGGCTGCAAATTTAACCCATCTTATTATTGTTACTGCTTCTCCACAAGTTTTTGAACCATTTTCTTCATCTACATTTTGTTATAGAATTCTATAAAAGAATAAGTAGGTTTTCGAAGAAAGTTTTAATTGTATGTAATTTATTTTAAATTAGTTTTTCAAGACCATTTGGTTCGCTGTTTATTGGAATATATGTCTAAGAAAATTGATGAACAAAAACACTAAACGAAAACTTATCCTTTGACACTTTAATTAATCGAAAACACTTCTTAATGTAAATTGTAAATGAGTTTAAAAAGGAACCTCTATAAAAACCGTTCAGTCGTGACAACTTCAGTTGGTACTAATTGATTTTGAGAACTTTGAAAAAAATATGTTTCTGTCTCGTTTAGTGTTTGTTCTTTGTTAATTATTTGACGTTGTCGTAATATTCTTGAAGAGAAAACAAAAGGCCTTGGACCTGGTACTTATTTACATTAATTTTCAAAAATCGTCTTTAATGCTTGTTCGTTTGTTAAACAGAGATAACAACTCACCTTTCGTAAATACTAAAAACAAGAGAGATTGTAATTTATCGTGAGAAATTTTGTTCTCGATTAAGTACAAGGTCATTCACCGGCACTTTTATCTTTTTTCTATTTATCATATGGATAATACATTAAAATATCTCTGAAATTTATCGATACCGTTATTTCGATTAACGATTAAGGTATTAGAAAATATCACAAATGGCGCGGTAAACGCCATCTGTAGTACAATGCGACATTTTAGGATTACGTATGCTCCAACAAGGTCCATTTCAATATATGGATATCTACTTGCTTTAACGACTCCCGGCGTAGCTAACCACTACGTGATAGGCACCTTCCCATAATCGAATAAAATAATTCAAAGTGGTCTGTATTCTGTCGATACGGCCAGACGCGGATCGCGATTTCGATCTTTTTTGGATCTCATCAGCGTGTCGCAGACAGCTCCGACAGAACACAGACCAATTTTTACCTGCTGTCTTAACAGGGCGTTTTAGAAAATATCACAAATGGCGCGGTAAACGCCATCTGTAGTACGATGCTACATTTTAGGATTGCGTATGCATGGATAAATGTGATAAAAAGTGATTTGTAACTTATTATAAACCATAAAAATGAGCCTTTTTTAAGTCTTTAAGGTCAAAAGTAACAGAAGCTTCATTTCAAATTCAGTTATTAACTGCAATGACGCCATGATGATTGAAATTGGTTAATCTAATACGATATAATACAGGAAATAGAGATAGCACCTTTAAAAAATTCCGAGGGAACTGGATTTTCGTATGAACCGTCCTTTTGTGGTTCTTAATATGATCCCAAAAGTCCACACAATAAACTTTTTTTTTTAAATAAAAGTAGAAATAATAATTTCTTATAACTTCATTCAAATAAAATTATTTACCTGAGGTGGACATAAGATATGCATGGTGTACTCGATCTCTTGCTGTAGATCGGTTGTGTCCAAAAGACCTTTCAAAACAACGTGACCAATCAAGTCGTGCCTTGAAAATCGATCAAAATCGTATACGGAAAATTGGAGATAACGTTGCTTCAGTTCTTCAAACGGAACACTGTAAATAAAAGAAAAACTAGCAGGTTGTTATATTGACATGTAATCTTTCTTAATCAGTATTAGGGATGAACCGAATACTGAGTTTGCTGGGTACTGAATAACCAGCACCTTTTTTTGGGATCCGGTAGGGTACCGGATCCAAATTGCGTACCCGATGTATGTCTAATAAGTATTTCTTTAGAAAATAATGTCCTACATAATTTTTATTCAATGAACGCCTTGTTTAATTAAATAAGTCTTCCGGGCTGAAAAGCATCCACTTCAAAATTATTTTATGCGGAAGTTCGTATATCTATATGGGCCGATGGTCCGATGGTATCTCTGTTCCGGTAAAGTCTGGGTTTGAACTAATTAAAAATAAAATCAATTTCGTATGTACAACAGGAAAAGTTATTTAATTTATCCAAACACAGGCTCTCCTTCGGGATGTTGACTTAGTACTTCAATTTCATTAAATTAACTTTCAACATTCCAGGCATGATTGGTTCTGAGCAAAAATTAAATTCTTAAGCCAGAATCAAAACGATTAAGGGATAAAGAATTTAACTTGAATATACAGAGACGTTCCCTAAATGGAACAGAGCCAGAGAAAAATTAAATTTTCGCACAAAAAATGTGCGAGGGAACAGGACACATAATTCGTACCCACCATAATTGCTGCATCAGCATCACTTATTCGGAGGGGTTTCCTTGTACTTTGAAAGACAATAAAAATGATGCGATGGACCTAACTGATGGGTAATTTCAATGTCAAATAATTCATTACTTTTCATCATATACCATATCAACACTGCTCTCTTTGATGTATAATTGTGCAATTGATAATTAGTTCAAATTAAAAAAAGTGTGACGCTGAAGAAAAGACCCGAAAATTGAAGTTCAAAGTTAACCCGTACAGGTAAACTCTCGTCTAATATGATTTGAAAAATTTGGGAAAGTGGACCGAAGCAATGAATCCAAAAAAAGAAAAACAATTTTGGGTGTTCCATTCCCACCAGCCACTAATACTGGTTGGCGGCAGTCCCTCCGGACTACACCGGAATGTAGGGTAGAAGGCCCTCTTCAGCCTCCTTTCAGGAATCGTGGGAATAGGTGGGTGGTGGTTTAGGTGACAACGGATGAAATGAAGACAGAAGAGGATGAACGATTATCTGTGCAATGTTGCTGCTCCAGCATTTGCCTAAGCGATCTAAGAAAATCACAGAAAACCCCGGACCAAGGCAGACGGACCCGAAATAGAATCCGTTGGATGTTAAACAATGCTCTAAACCTTTAACCATGCAGCTCGGTGCAGTGAATCCACCAACATGACGGTTTATAGTCAAGAAATCCAATGTCAGAACTTGTTTGCAGGGTTTCCCTAGTTTGACGTATTACCGAGTGTCGTTATTAACGGAGGCTTGCATGGTACGAATTTAGTTGCATGACAAGTGAACAATTTCGAAAACATATTTTGTACTAACTACGTGGCCCATATTGGATATTCGACTATTTCAAAGATTTGTAGCAATAAAAATAGTTTAACTAATAAATCCATCGGAAGTAATAATTTTTCGTTTAGTCTTGCGTATTTGGTCTTGATCTTGCATATTCGGCTTTGGTTTTAGTCTTAGTCTTGTACGTTCAGTATTGGTCTTAGTCGTCTTAATATAAAGATGGTCTTGGTCTAAGTCTTGACCTTGCATCTTCGCAAAACCAAGACCAAGACCAAGATTGCAAGAACAAAACTAATTTTGTTCATCTTTAATTCGTATAGTATTATTTTGAATGTATACATATTTATATAATTTAATTCGTCCCCTCTTTTACTTTACCGTATATAGTACCGTTATATGCAGGTGTTGCAGAAATATTACTATGTGTATTAAGGTGTTTTAGCACACAATAGGTTACTTACAGATGAAAGTAAACAGTTGCTTGTTAGAAAACAAAATAAATAGATTTTAGTACATTTTGGATACAATTTCACAAGAAGTTTTAGCATATTATATTGTGTGTAGACTACATAAGCTAACATTCATTTAAATAAATATAGAAAGAAGAGTAGGTACCTACTCAGTTTAGGAATAATGCGGCTTGCTTTAAATTACCGTTTATTTATTCCTGAAAGCCTAAATTCTCCTAGGTAGAGAGCAATTTAGGTTAAATGAAGAGGAAATAATTTCAGGATCTTTAAGAAGCGTAGTTCCGTTTCGAAATTGCAAAACTGGAGAAACGTTGGCGTAACTTTATCAACCTTTGGATGGTGTGCGTTGTAAAATCTAATATTGTTTGATGCGAAAACTACTTCACCATTATTTTATCCATGATAGGTACAAACATTCCATCATTTTCCGATATTGTAAATTACGGATTAATAATTCGTAAATAAGCAAACTGAAGTATTAAATAAAAATTTGCAAAACTGAGAAATTTTAAATTAGTTTTATTGAAATGAAAATATTGTAACTATAAAGTATATTACTTACTCGGATAGTACATATACGTGATGTCTCGAGAAATATTATCAGGCAAAAAGCACCTCAGGATCTGACAAAATCTTTTTATGACCATTTGTGTGTTAATCTAAGAAAACTACAAACAGTATCGATATATACAAGAATGTATCGATATTGTTTTGAGAACTAGCTTCATATGAGGGTAACATCAAAATCAAAATGAACAAGTCAAGAAACCTTCCTTGTCGACATTTTTAATCAAATTTCATTTTTAAGAGAAAAACTGAAAAGCTGCAGATATAAGAGACCTATAAAATGTTAGTTTAGAATTTTTTCCGCCAAAAATATAAATATTCTCTTATCCACCTTTCCATGACTTTAATAGCAAATTCCAACACTGTTCAAAGATGTAGATGATTTGAGTAAAAAATCTCCCTTAAACCAATTAATTACTAAAGCACCGACACATATATATTTGTATAATCTTTTAAATTATAAAAAAAAAATTCTACAAAAAAAAANTACAAAAAAAAAAACAAACAGAAAAATGTTAGCAGTAGTGAAGCGCATCGTTAATGTTTTACTATCAATAGTTCTCTCGATATCTAATTTACTCTATTTTGAAATTATCATTTAGAAAATACATCAAAACTCAAATAGAAATTAAATTACTTTACAAACGGACAATACTCGTCCGTATTAAGCGTAACAACATTAGGATAAACATATTTTACTGTTAATGTTGTTGAAACGAACTATTAGTGAAATTAAACTTAAGTACTTAAAGAAAATGTAAACAATATAATATTGTTTCGCCAAATATTGGCTTCATTAGGTGATAATTATTTGATCGATTAGAATGATTTAAATCATCACCTGATGAAGCTAATGTTTGGCGAAACAACATTGTAGTTACAAAATTCCTGAAACTAAGTGTTTCTTAATTTATTTTAATGATTAAACTTACTTCAGTTTGTGTATTTCATACTTACAGAACATACAAAGGTTCCTTTCGTATTTTTAAGTATTTTAGTGCGTTGTAATATCTTTATATTTGATACATAAACAAAGTCACTCCAGCTGGCTGTACGCTTAGATCTTTTAAACTACAGAACGGATTTTAATGCAGTTTTCAGCAATAAATTAGTGTGTTTCATGAGAAAGGTTTATATATATATAATACATGCATTTATGAACATATTACATTGCAAACGCTGACTAAACCTTACGAGGTAAATCAAATTAATGTACTACGGAATTGAATATCTAAAAACGATCTATAAAATAGTTCGGGATAGTATATGTTTATCTCCTAAGGATAACCCACAGTAACTATTTGTATCCTTTTAAGTAAATCAAAACATATTTGTACTGTCTCATGAAAAAACAGCTGTAAATATTGCATATAAAGATATCCTGTAGTAGACTAATCATAATCATGATATTATTAATCTTTCCACACTTCCCCGTGCGAAACCGGGGCGGTTTGCTAATTACATATAAATTAGAACAGTATAAATCAAATTTGCGCTAAAACAAGAAGGGGATTATCTATCTATATACATGTATCTATGAACGTATGTATGTATGTACATAGCGGGAGCGTTCCAGCCAACTAAATAACATTTTACAATAGATTGTATACCTACACATATAATGCATTCACGCCAACAGCACTTTATTAGATTCTTGTTGAAATTCGAAATATCCGACAGGGCTGTCGTGAATACGCCCTATAATGAATTCCTATGAAAGAAAATAAAACGTTCTGTAATCAGATGTTTAGGATGATGTACGTAGTTCTGAAAATCCCGATTGATTTGTAACAACACAAACGATAGAATGAAGATTCGGGCTATAGGGCCGTGGTCTAAGTGAACTGTTCCGTTCAGACGTTTCGTCAGCTACTGCGGCTGACATCTTCAGTGGTAGTGCTGCGTTGACAACGCGAACGTAGATTATATCTCGAAGTCTTGACAGCGACTGTACAGTCTATAGCCCGAATCTTCATTCTACTATGGATTCCGGCCGTGTAAGCCTTTGTTCTAATATAAACGGTGCTTATGTTCCCGTTCAACTTCACGAGCAACCTTTGTTTATTAACTAATCCCAATTTATTGTTACATGGCATCCATAAATTCATATTTAGGTCACTGTTACACAGTTGGTACATATAAATTATATATTTAAAACTGCAAGCCAACACCTACTTAGCTAGTGTGTTAGTAGGTCATTTAGCGACAGCGGAATTAATCAATAATAAGAGGGTAGTCAAGTCAAGAAGCCGAGAGTCGAATTGAATATCACGAAAATGCAGGGTGATGAGGCGGCTTACTGTCTTCACTCACCCTGTGATAGTTCCCTGCCACTTCTACGTTACCCAATTATCTAAGATGATTTATTATTATACTATTAAATTAACTGTAGTTAAAGGGTTGGCTAATCATTGTGTAAAACGATTTCGATATTAGATTAAATTAGTACATCTCATTTCTAAATATATAAATTCGCTTTTTTATAAAATTATTCTATTCAATTCAATCTATTCAAAAAGTAATAAAAATTGCTTTCTAAAGGTTCTTAACATTTCTTTTTTTTTATGCAAGAAGATTCTATAGTAGATCGTAACAATGTTTATCAGAGCCTTATAAACAATTGATTATCTTACAATAATAAAATCATGCAAATATAATCAATAGCTACATCAATAGAAGATAACTATGCGTTCACTAATTATATGTAGGAATAAAAAATATATGATAGAAGTGGAATGTGCCAGGCGCTGCCACCAAATGTCTTATAAGTAGGAATTTCTTAGATGAGTCGCAAATAAAAATAAAAATTAAATTTTCTGTAATTATAATTTTAATGTGACCTACCGATTTACGACCAGTACACGGAATATGGGTTCTAGGTAAAGAGACAGGAAAAGGTATTTTATTTTTCTTTAGTCAAAAGAGCTTTCAAGAATCGATAGTTTTGAATTACGTCAAATTATGTACATTCCTGTGCAAAAACGGGCACAGTACAGTCTTATAAAAAGTGTTTTAAATTATGTAGATGTACATACAGAGTCCAACTTCTAAGAAGTTGATTTTTGAATATTTATAAATTTTACTATTTAAGGTTTTGTTTTTTGCAATCTACTATCCAATATGCGGTTAATATCTCTCATTTATTCCCTTTTTTATTTCAAATTAGTGTTTTCTGTGTTAGTGTACATGACTTAGCATATACTATGCTTTCATTCCTTATCTTCTTACAATATTAGTTAAGTACCTGACACGTGACACGCAAAAGAAACATGTCGTCCCAAATTTCTTCTACCTGGTACACTAGCTTTTTAAGTAATTTAGAAAAATTTTATTATGTACTATGTACCATAGGCGGAATATGGGCCGCGCTCCAAACATACACTTTTAATAATATTTTTCTAATTTCTAAATTAACCGTTCGCGAGCATAGAAGTGAGTCCTTTTATTGAAGGCGACTCGACCCTGCGCTATTCTTTGCTTTATACAGGGTTTGTCCGGAAAGTAATGGGACTGATTTTCTTTCGCCGCGGCTGTACTTCGGAGCGTGCGCGCACCGACTGGATTCGGTAGAGGGCATTCATAGCTAACGAAAGAGCGGCTGGTGAGTTGTCTCCGAGCACCTGGAGAGTCAGAACAGGCTTTTCGCGCGACGTGTTTCTGTGAGTGGTGCAAGCCGAAAATGCAGCGTTCGTTAGATCAGAGGTAAGCGATTAAATGCTGTGTTTCTAACGTTTGATATGATCAAGCAGGCTTACCCAGATGTTGCTTTAGCAAACAGTGGTGTGTTTCGGTGGCACCAGGCCTTTTCAGAGGGCCGGGAAGAGGTCGCCGATGAAGACCGTGCTGGAAGACCTTCGACTTCGACAAGCATCGACAATGTGACTCGTGTGCGCGAAGTTTTGAACTCAGACCGTCGACTAAGTATTCGTTTAATTGTCCAGATATTTAATTTACCAAAATCTGTGGTTCATGACATTGTGACGGAGCATTTGAACATGAGCAAGGCGTGCGCGAAGATGGTCCAAAAAGTGCTCACTGACGACCAGAAATTGCGGTGAGTGGAAGTGTGCCAAGAAAATTAAAACATGTGTGAAAGAGACCCCCAATTTTTTAATAACGTAATCACAGATGACGAGTCATGGATCTTTGAGTATGATCCCGAGACAATGAGGCAATCTTCCGAGTTGCACACGCCGGCGTCTCCTCCCCAAAAAAAGGGAAGAATGAGCAAATCCAAAGTGAAAACGATGCTCATTGTCTTTTTTGACATGAAAGGCATCGTCCACCATGAATTTGTTCCTCCTGGACAAACCGTCAACGCCATGTTTTACGTGGAAGTGCTCAGGAGACTCAAACGAAGGGTCAATCGGGTCCGACAAGACATCGCAGCCGACTGGAATTTGCACCACGACAACGTCCCGGTTCACATCGCTTTTCTTGTGGACAGGTACCTGACCAAGACCGGCATCCCAACGCTTCCGCAGCCATCCTACAGCTTAGATATGGCCCCCCGGACTTCTTTTTGTTTGCTCGCCTGAAAAGACCGATGAAAGGCAAGCATTTTGAGACGACAGAGGGGATCCAAGCAGCATGCACCGCGGCTCTTAAGGCTATTCCGGAGAATGCCTTCCGTGACGGCTTCAATGCTTGGAAATCGCGCTGCGTCGACGCAGAAGGAGCCTATTTTGAAAGTTTTTAAAGAATTGTAACGATTGGCTCAATAATTTTTTTTAAATCGACTCAGTCCTATTACTTTCCGGACAAACCCTGTATCTTTACTACTCCTTCAGCCCTGACTTATCTGGTTTAAATCAGTCACTTCTTCTAATTTTTCGTCTCTTGTCTTTATATTCGCTCTTTCCCTACTTTTTCTTCCCTTGCATACCATTATTTCTATTTTACTTTTATTTATTTTCATACAAAACTGTTTTGTCAATACCGCTTCCATTTTATTTAAAGTTATCTCTAACTGCCCCTTGCTAGATGCTAATACTGCTGTACCATCTGCAAATCTATGCATACTAACATTTTGCCCTTGTATATCTATCGCTATGGTTGGACTGTCTTTAATGATGTTGACGCGTCTTCGATTATAGATTAAAAAGTAGTGGTGACAGTGTGCATCCTTATCTGATTCTCTTCCTATTATTTACTTCTCTACGTTGCAGCTATAACTGCCTCTTGCTCTTTATAGAAACTAAGTAAAACTCTTTTATCTCTGTAACTCATCCGTACGTTTTTAAGTATATTTAATATGTTTCAAAAATGACGTCAGTTGTTTTATTTTTACATAAACGTACAAGAAAATCAATTTTCTCATATCCCTTCTGCAGTAAATATCTACTACATTCCCTGTGGCAATTCGAAAATATATTACGTGTGAAATTTTCACTTTGGAGAAATGAATTTCTCACCTGAATATAAATGTTTCATTGAAAACCGGATTGAGATTCTTTCGATGAACCTTGGTCTGGTATTTTCTTTTCCTGTCAGGAAGTAAGTAGACTTTGATGTAAGGATCACTGCTGCCGGAAACGTCTTTAATGGGCAAGTCGCGAGCTTCCAACACCTGGAACAAAAGAAAATCTTTATGTACAAGTGAAATCGACGGTAGCATTTAACTGTCCTTTATTCAACGCATTTGTAGGTTCAGTTGTCCTTTAATAGTATTTAAAAGGGAAACTGTAAATATTGCCATAATATCCTACAGAAGATCTTTTTTATCATAAAATTATTTTAGCCATCCACAAAAAGCTCCTAAAATTCTTAGCAGAACCGAATTGGCTCCCAAAAGTAGCAGGTAGATAAATTGACGACGAACTGACATCCTGGAAGGACGGAACTGTCTTCCTCCCTGTTAATGGGAGTTGCTAATGAGGATCAATTATGTTTATGTGTGTATGTATGTGATGGACTTGTTTTTGAATAGACAGAATTTTGTAAACACAAAAATGTTCGTACTTTCGGAAAAAAGTTCAGTCAAAGAATTTGTAAAATGTATTTCTTATTATTTTAAATTTAATTTAACCAATAAAAATACTATTGTGCCACAATAACAATTTAATCGGCGAGAATCAATTTGGATAAGCATAATTAATGCGATCTCGACTTATTGGACTGATCGGGTGCCAATTCGTCCCTCATGTTTGCTTAAAGTGATTATTGGGAGACAATTCGGTTCTGCCGAAAATCCTTGTTGAATTGTCATGGAAGAGAAATCCACCTGACTTCAACTTTGTTACGGAACCTTGAAATTTAAACCTGAAGGATAGATAACACCATGAGAAGAACATACATACATACAAGCACTTGTTATCTAATTTCGATCCCGTCGATTATTTTATAATTATATTCAATCCCAATTCGACGTAAAATCTTTCAAAATCGACAAATTTTTTTGTTCCTTGAAAATTATGACCCGTTTGTATTAGAAAATAGTCATATTTATTGCAAAATGTATATTTGAACTCGAGTTATACAACTGTACAGATTGGCCCAAAATGTTTAACTTCATTTAGTAAAAGTCATTTCTAATAATAATACGATAAGTTCAGCTTGTATATCGACTTATTCCAAAAGAATGAAACTTTTCTTCCACTTTGGAATCGCAAATTATAAATAAATTAGAGTTATTTTTACATACTATTACAGTGAAATGTCGTTCAAAGAACTACGCTGATTTGCTATTCAATAACAACGACAAAGTTGTTGTCGTGCTTCTTTTTATCACTAATTTAGTAATTTTCTCAGCAAGTAGCGTATTAATTCCTTTAAAGAAGTTGGTATTACCACTGAGTATTTATGCAAACGAATGCAGACAAAAATTTTTGGAAAATTACACTAAATTGGGATATTTTTGAATAGGCAATTCAAATGAATTACACAGTAATTCATTGAGACCAACATGATTCATTTCAATGTTACCTTTGCACAAAATTAAGCGGGATATACAAATACAGGGTGTCTCAAGATGACTACCCATGCGAATTATGAGGAATCCGTGGATAGAGAAGGTTAGAAATGAAGAGGTATCAGAAAGAGTAAGAGAACAGAGGACTCTATGAAAGCCAATAAGAAATAGACGAGATAGGTTAGTAGGACACCTTCTCAGGCGTGAAGGTCTAGTTGGAGACATATTAGAAGCAGAAACGGAAGTTAGGAGGGGTAGAGGTAGACCTACATCAGATTACTGTTCGCAAATAGTTAAGGATGTGGGTTGTTTTAGTTTTAGACCGAGCGGCATGGCCTAGAGGTCTAGACCACTGCTTAGCATTCAGGAGCACGCCGGTTCGATTCCGGGCCCGTCTGCCTTGGTCCAAGTTTTTCTGAGGTTTCCTTGGATCACTTAGGCAAATGCTGAGGCAATAATATTCCACAGATAAACTTTCACTCTCTTCTGTCTTCATTTCGTCCGTCTCATCTTTCTCACCCGAACCACCACCCACCCATTCCCACTATTCCTGAAAGCAGACTGAATAGGGTCTTCCGCCCTACCTTCCGGCATAGTCCGGAGGGACTGCCCGCCCACCAGCATTACTGGTTGGTGGGAATGAAACATCCAAAAGTTTTTTTTTTAGTTTTAGGGAAATGCGAAAATCAGCTTAAGATAGGAAAGGGTGGAGGTGTGTGTCCAACCAACCAAGTCTTAGGACCGACCTTATGGTGATGACTAAACTTTGTTATTTTTCAGATTTTAATTAAAAAAAAAAGTAGCACATAGCAGTAGGTAGCGAAAAGTTACGCAAGCTGGAGCAATAATATTGTCAAGAGAGATAGCTATAAGCTCAAACTTCGTGTTCATACTTACAAAATGGGTTAATTACATATAGGGTGTTGAATATTTAATAGCACATTTAGTTAACAATTGTAAGTCCATTTTTTTCGAATGGAACACCTTGTATGTATTTCTATAAATTTATGCAGAATTTTATTCTTTTTCGAATGGTATTATGACTCCCTGTACCTATCTCCTCTAATTTTCAAATTACTTACAGTTCTTTGCAAAAGCAACTAAAATGTTCAATTTTTTACGAAGGTGGTTCTTAGTGTCAATTATTAAATATTATTGGTATTAAGAATGGAAAATGAAGATTTGTATTCAAATGGAGAAGAACTATAAGAAATCAATCTCAATACTGTAGACTATAGATAACATTAGTAAAAACAGCAAATAAACAATAAATAAAATAATANTATTACATTGATTGTTACAAAATTCTTATCGTCACTATGCAGGGGCACTGTAATTTTTCTGAATTCTTGCTCTGCCAAAACATTAAAACTTTTTCTTAAAATCTGAAATAGGAGTCTGAACAGCATGATGTATAGGGTGTTCCATTTAAAATAACGAGGTTGATGTTAACTTCCAGTATAACCAGAAGTGCTACATAGATGCTGTTTATTTTAAAATATGGAAAGTATACCCAACACCGCCTTTGTGCAAATTTTTAAATTTTAAATCGAAGTAGTTTCCGAAATATTCCATGCGACACCCTGTATACTTATACAAAATGTACAAGCTTTGTTTTTGAGAATATGGAATATATCTTCAACTTTTATATTAGTAAAGATAAAATTTCTTCAGCAATGTATACATAAAATTTATTTCTTTAGTAAATATTTACTTTGTTGAAAAATACACTTATAACATAACGTATTTGACTGTAATAACTTTATAGTTAAGTAATATAGAAAACTGCCCTCGGGGCGAAAAGAAATATTTAAGAAATGTACCGAGTGCTTCGTAACTCGCTTTTGAAGATTAAATTAATGGTCAACTTAAACTGAATAAGGTTGTAAATTGCATGTCTTCTAATTGTGAAAACTTGTCTAATTCCTAAAACAGACACCTATACCTACGGCATCCCTCATAGTTGTCATTCGTGCATTTGAACAGACCAAAAATGTAGTGCCTCCAAGTTAATATTTTACCAATTTCCTTTTACGGAACAAATTTGGCTTGATCGGTAATGTATCGCAATGGCGTGCTGAGGTAAACTAACAAATTTGAAATTTCAATTCACGTCAGGTAGTTAAATTCCTGACTGATTTTTAATCATAAAATTACGCTAAAGTATGAGGTAACTGCATTTTTTGTTTTATGAAACAGCAAATGTCTTTGTTTTCGAATATTTTCACATTTTTTTGATAAATAGTGCAGATGATAGAGTAAATTCTTTTTTAAATGTTACCCTAACTTTTCGGAAAAATTGCTGGAAATTATGATTAATAGAATAAATAATAATAATAAATAAACACATTAAAAAAAACAGTTAGTCTGCAATATAGATATAACTAGCTTTATTAACTATAAAAGTTACATTCAATTTTGGGAATCCGGCGGTAGGTAAGTACTGTGTCTGTTTGTTGTGAGAAAATAAATTTTAATTGAAAGAGTTCTTTCTGGTATTCTCACTTTACACGCCAAATTAATTGCGAGCAAATTATTTTATGTAAATGATAACGATTGTTGTTTTAAATATTTAATAGTCAACACTTAACTTACACGTAGAATTAAAATAAACTAAATAAATAAAATTAGATGTAAAAGTATAAAAGTAGGCTCTATGATTGAATTTGAAATATTTTGTCTTGTTTGATACTGTTATCGATACTGTTTCGATACTGCTTTGATACTCTCTAAAATGTGTATTATTAATTACTTAAATAGTTTCGCCAGTGGGCGTTAACAATAACATTGAGGGTGCAAGGCGACCCTGTCAGTCAGGTCAATACCCCATTTCAGGTACAGACAAAATACGTGAATTTAAATTTGGAAATTACAGTAATATAGCGAACGTGACTTTACAAAAGGAAGAAATGTTACAATAAGATAATAGAATACAAATTAAAATTTATGGTTCAAAAATACTGAGATTACTGTTTGCATTTGATAAATAATATATACCTGAAAATTGTAGCTAAATAATAAAATGAATAATAGAATTGAATTTGTATACAAATAGAAAATAATACTTAAAATTTCCGACAATAATAAAATTAGTATGCAAAATAAAATAAACCTATAGTATTGTAAAGATGCAACAGTGTCAAATAGTACACCAACATGACAATTTTTGTTAGAAAGCACTGTGGTGCTACCAATGTCAAAGAGAATATTACATTTTTAATTTTTTTGTAAATGGTTCAATCAGATTTAATTTTTGCCATAACGATCAAAGTTTAAACCAGACTAGTTGAAAAAAATTACTCATTCAATATGTTTTGCAAAGGCTCTCGATGAAGAGATATTACCTCAATGTCTCAAAGAGTATGTTTAAATACATATAAGAAAAAACGAGAGCGCTGAAGGATGGTGCAGATTTTATAACTTTATTCTGACTGACGCGTTGACATGTAGTAAACAATATAATATTGTTTCGCCAAATATTGGCTTCATTAGGTGATAATTATTTGATCGATTAGAATGATTTAAATCATCACCTGATGAAGCTAATGTTTGGCGAAACAACATTGTAGTTACAAAATTCCTGAAACTAAGTGTTTCTTAATTTATTTTAATGATTAAACTTACTTCAGTTTGTGTATTTCATACTTACAGAACATACA